GACAGCCCCATAATGCATTAAAATATATGTGGGTGGGGTCAGCATTACCCAAACTCGTCTTATTGTTTTAATTTATATTCCTTCTTTTTGCGTGCATTGTGATACATACAAGGATAGGATAACATTGTAGTGGAAATGGTTGCCGGAGTGAACAACATAGGTGTAGCATATAATGTCATAGGAGAACACTGCACTTTTTTAGGATAAGTAAATAAAATGAGAAGTCAGCAAGAATCAGAAATGCTCTAGGGCCACTGGATGCTAAGTACTTAGAAAAGCAGACATACAGATCCTCATAATTTGTAAAGGGAAATAGTTTGCCTATATCAGTTATATCAGCCTAGATCAGTTAGCCTTTGTCACAGAGTCCAGATTGGGTAGGATAGCATGATAGAGACCTGATCTCCACTAACAGAGGTATAGCCAACGCCACAAGTGTGCCTCAGTAGTAGGTCTGTCTCCAAGCCACATCGGAGGTCACCTCTCAATGCTGCATGCAGGTTGGTCACGGAAGGGCTGCTGATGTCGGAGTACACACTCCCCGATGGTAATGATCTAAGAGGGACCTGTGTGGCCTGTCGAAGGGGTCGTCCTCTCTGCTTAGCCCGGACACGGGCTCCGATGCGCCTTGGCTGTCGTGGTGCTTTCCAGTATTTCGGGCAGTAATGCTGACATACCTCCAGCCCGGTGTGAACCACTGCATCAGCCATGTTTTCTGGTTGTATAGGTGAGGTGTGGGAGGGAGGCCTGCTGTGTATGCGCCTCCAAAAAGCCCCACAGATCTAGTCAAAACGAGCCTCAAAGCATTTCCAGCTCTGAATCTCAGACCCCTCCAGGGCTTTGATAAGGTGTGGCACGATGACCATCTTGGGCGAGAGCAGTCCTTGGTTTGAAGTGAGACTCCCCGGTGACAGGTAGTCAGATTTGCCCAGTGAGGATCGGGATATCCCCCGCCGGTCCAAAGGGGGGGTTGCGGGGCATTATGATCAGATGTGCCATTCAGAGCGGGCCCCATGGCAGCCACCTCCCCCATCCACTGGGCAGCCTTCCGTGCTAGGCCTCATATTTAGACAGTGGGTTTTCGTGCCAGAAATTTATCCACCAGCTCCCCCTCAATTCAACAACACTTTACCGTCAAGTAAGACTGGACTGTAGTGACCAGAATTTAGCTAATCAGTGCAGTATCTGAAAAGGTCTACTCGTTCTCATAACTTCTTCATCTCACTGAGATGCCCTCTGCTTTTTTTTTTTGTTGTTAAATGGTCCTTTTAAGGATTGCAAAGCTTTATGTTAACTGATACAACTGTCCGCCCGCACCTCCCACGCCTCACCCTTCTGTCAGTCCCTACATTGGCTTCCTGTAAGATATAGGGCTCAATTTAAAATTCTGGTTCTTGCTTTCAAATCTCTACATAATGCTGCTCCCATCTATTTATCCTCCCTAATAAACAAGCATGTCCCGTCTAGGCCCTTACACACTGCTGAAGACTTACGTATATCTTCTGTCCGTACTCCCACCTCTGATGCTCGCCTTGAAGACTTCTCTAGGGCTGCACCGTTCCTGTGGAACTCACTTCCCTCTTCCGTTAGATGCTCACCCAGTCTACACTACTTCAAAAAAATCATTATAAACCCTAACATGTATTGTCTTGTTCTGATTTGGTCAGTCATACATATTCCTTACAAAAAGTGCATTTAAGGATGTCTGCTGCTTGTGGGATTTGGAGGGTGGAGGGATAAACAGTTACTTGATGGAATAATTGTTTAAAGTTATATTAAATATCATATAAATGATCTGTTTTTAGTGGGTAGGAGTTTGTTTCAGAAAGACAATGACTGCAATGTAGGATATTCAGAAAATTCAGCAGCTCACAATTGAGGGAATGGAATTCATTTTATAGGGATGTATGCAACTTTTGGCACTCCAAATGTTGCGGACTACATCTCACCTAATGCTTTGCCAGCATTATGGCTGTAAGAGCATTAATGGAGATGTAGTCCACAATATCTGGAGTGCCGAAAATTGCCTACCCCTGTAATCAGCCTCTGTGATCTGCCAAGTTCACCAGTTCTGAGTTTGGTTTGGGAAGCTATAGTTAGAGATAGTCAGCACGTTGGCATGTCATCCCAGTGAGAATGTGCATCATGACGACAGGGCAATCACAATTACCCATATGCTGAGCACTGTGGAAGCTTGCGTATATGCTAGTATTGCCCTGTACATAAGTGTGCGCACAGGGTGTGCCGGGTGTGCCTGGGCACACCCTAATCCCCGCGGTCCGCACTATGTGCCTCCCAAAGATCTCCCTCGCCGACCCACAGCAGCATGGAGGGAGGCAGGAGAGGACCCGGGGAGCTCTTGCCAGCAGTTCCACCGGGTTCCTCTCGCGAGGTCGGAGCGTTGCCGCGGCCCTTGCGGGGCTAGAGTTCACTTACCACCCGACCACCAGGGATGGCTGCAGCACGGTCCCCCCCTCCTGACAAAAGGTAAGAAGGGAGG